TTCTGAGGCGGTATCACTATGGAAGTAGATTGCCCAATCTTATGCATATTACTTAGATGGGTAAATTAATTCCATTGTGTAAGTAATGATATCTTCTATGAATTAACTAATCAAAAATGGTAATGAGTAGACCAACAGGTTGCATCTCTTTCAACGTCCGTTCCATAAAATGTGATTTTCTTTAGATGTGAGTATAAACTGAGAAAAAAAAAAAGTTGCTATCAAGTCTGTTCTGACTCATAGTAACCTTACAGAACAGAATAGAACTTCACTAAAGTGTTTTCAAGGCTCTGAATCTTTGCAGAAGCAAACTGCCAAGTCTTTCTTCCATGGAGCAACTGATGAGTTTGAATCGCCGACCTTTCAGTTAGCAATTTAATTCTTAACCACTGCAACACTAAGATTCTTGCCATGATTATAAGAGCTATAAATTAATTTCACCATTTCTGATGATTAATCCCTAAGCCTAGCACAATCTGAATTTCCCTTTTCCATGGGTCGGTTTTTGAAAATATAATTGAAAGTCCATTTCATGGAAAGCAAACGAACTTATATTTTTCTCATATCTTCCTTTCCTCTTTTTTTCTGTTTCATTTATTTATTCAATAAATACTAACAGGACATATAATTTATTCACTGAATTTTGCTAGGCGCTGTGAAGAAAATTCTTGAGGTTGCTGTCCTCAGAAACCTTAAACAGAGAGAAACACTGAGTTAACTAGAAAAAAAGATGCCACAAACAATACCAAGTGAAAAGCACAGTCCGTGAGTCCTGTGACTCCAGAAGCCAGTCTTTACCTCCCTGACATTTTCAATCAGAGCTTTCCAGCCTGTCATCCTTTGTGATGTATTTCTAGTGGTTCTTTTTCTCTCCTTCCAGCATGTAGGCAGGTGTAGAACATGTAGGAACAGGCCATTGGTTGTACCCCCTCTCTCTTGATAGCCTCAACTCTACTTCTGAGCTCTTGAAATAAACATTGGAAGCTATGTCCAGACTATTTTGTGAATGCCAGATAATTATCTACCCACTTGTTCTAAAGGAGAGGGGTCTGAATGAATCAAGAAGATGGCATTACCCCTCATGTGTCCTTATATCAACCACACCTGCACATTTAAAATCTTATAAAAAGAAAACATATGAGAATGTTCAGCAATGAATTGCTAACAAATTAAGTTGCTGTTCTTGTTAGGTGCAGCAAGTCCATCCCCACTCCCACTGACCCTGTGTATAACAGAACAGACGTGCCTGGTCCTAAGCCGTATCCACAGATCATTGCTGTGTTGACCCCATCCTTGTAGCCACTGTGTCATTCCATCTTGTTGAAGATCTTTCTCTTTTTCACTGACCTTCTACTTCATGAAGCATGATGTCCTTCTCCAGGGACTGATCCCTCCTGAAAGCACATCCAAAACAAGAAAGTCTTAACATCCTTGCTTCTAAGGAGTATTCTGGCTGTACTTTCTCCAAGACAGATTAGTTTGTTCTTCTGGCAGTCCATAGTATATTCAATATTCTTTGCCAACACCATAAAAAATGACATGCTTGCTTTTTAAGATTTTGGAGATTTTCCCAGTGCAATAATTCATTTGATTTTTTTGACTACTGCTTCCATGGGCATTAATTGTGGATCAAAGAAGATGAAATCCTTGACAACATCAATTATCTTCTCCATTTATCATGATGTTGCTTATTGGTCCAGTTGTGAGGATTTTTATTTACTTTATGTTTAGGTGTAATCCACACTGAAGGCTGTAGTCTTTGGCCTTCTTCAGTAAGTACTTCAAGTCCACTTCACTTAAGGCTTGCAAGATTGTGTCATCTGCCTATTGCAGGTTGTTGGTAAGTCTTCCTCCAATCCTTATGCCTCATTCTTTATGTGAAGTCTAGCTTCTCAAATTATTTGTTCAGCATACAGATTGAATAAGTGTAGTAAAAGAATGTCATTACATAATACAAATTAAGTAGATGCCATTAATAACCCTAGTTATTAAAGTTCATATTGTGAATATGTACATAGTTTTCACTTGTCTCCATAAACAAAGGCTTTCCCAAGCACTTATTTCCCTTCCTGGTAATAAGCAAGCAATGCTTGACTCATGGAAGTAACTGAGGAGGCAATTTCACCAACTTGACCAATCTGGCCACTTTCATCATCAGTTTTTCTTTAATCTCGGTGATTCATTCCACACACAGACTCTTGACCTTTTTAGCATTCTTCTGCTACTAGCTTTGTTAAACTTACCCCAGTTCATCAACACCTCCCACAGTTCCAGTGTCTTTCCACTTCAATGTCTATAATTACCTCATTGTGTTTTAATTACGTTCATGTGTTTGTGTTTCCCTCGTTACAATTAAAGCATCTTGAGAGCAAGAATTGTGCCTCCCTGCTGTGGTATACCCAGAGTCAAGTGCAGTTCCTGACATGTAGAAGGAACACCATAAAGATTTGTTGAATGAGTGCTTAGGCTTGAGAGAAAGGCATGGGATACTATGGAGGCTCAGGAGAAAGGCACCAAACTCAGTCAGTCATAGAGAGCCAGGAAGATTTTTCTCTTCTTTTCTTTTCTTTTGAAAGATACACCTGGACTGAGTCCTGAAGGGTGACTGCAAGTTAGCTAGGCATGCTGTTGTTATTATCCCATGTACAACAGAACAAAACAAAACGTTGCTTTGTCCTGCACTGTCTTCAGGATAATTTGTGCTTAAATCAATTCTATAGCCAAAATGTATTTTGCATGCCTTCCAACTTGGAGAGTTCATCTACTGGCACTGTATCAGATAAATTCTATCATAATTGAGAGGGTTTTCATTGGCTACATTTTTGAAGTAGATTGCCAGGCCTTTCTTTCTAGTCTTAGTCTAGAAACCCCACTGAAACCTGTCCACCATGGATGACCCTGCTGGTATTTGAAATATAAGTGTCATAGCTCCCAGCATCATAGCAACATGAAAGCTACCACAGTATGACAAACTGACAGCTTGTGGTAGCCAGGCATAGAAACCAAACCAAACCAACTGCCATCAAGTCAATTCCAACTCATAGTGACTCTGTAGACAGAGTAGAACTGCCCATAGGGTTTCCAGAGCTGTAAATCTTTATGGAAGCAAACTGCTTCATCTTTCTCCCATGGAGTGGCTGTGGGTCTAAACTGTTAACCTTTGGTTTAGCAGCCAAATGCTTTAAGCACTGCACCACCAGAGCTCCTAGCTAGGCATACCAAACCAAACCAAACTGCCATTAAGTCAATGCTTACTCGTAGTAACCCTATGGGACAGAGTAGAACTACCCCGTAGGGTTTCCTAGCCTGTAAATCTTTACAGAAGCTGACTGCCTCATCTTTCTCCCATGGAGTGACTATAAAGAAGAGCATGGAAAAAAGACTGATTTGAGAGAAACAAGGTCTACTAAAAGACAAGCAAAAAGATCAGTGCAACTATCCCTTATGTTAAGTGGGCCTCAGAAGTAAAACAGAACTTACAGTGGTATGCGTATATATCTGTATGATTTTGTATGTGTATATGAGAAGAACCTTTAGGATTTAAAAGTTTAATTAGATATAATAAAAGATCAAATCCATCATCCTGTAAAATCCTTGCTATGTAGCCAAAAGCCCCTTTTATGAATAAACAACATAGCTACTAACTTTCTCATTCTTTGTTTCTCAAGAAAATTTTTCATTTTGTTCCCTTATTTTTCTCTTTTAACTGTTGGCAATTTAATAGTATTTTTTAAATAGTTCCATTGCAGACAATAGTATATTAAGTAGAGAGTTATGGAGCTAACCACCTTGAATAAAATTATTATGTGTAGGAAAACTATTGCAGGTTCCAAACATTCAACTTAGAAATGAACATTTTCAAAATTACCTGTTTCTGAATTGAGGGTTTAGCTGCACAAGGGACAATTGGCGGCAGGATGTGGAAAGTATACTAATCTTGGAGTTAGAGCATCTACGCCCTTTAAAAACCAGATGCTTTTGAATCAACTTACAACTCATGGTGACCTCATCTGTATCAGGGAAGAACTATGCTCTGTAGAATTTTCAGAAGTAGGCTACCAGTGCTTTCTTTATAGGCACCTCTGGGTGGATTTGAACTGCCAACCTTTCAGTTAGCAGCCCAGTGCATTAACTTTCAGTTAGCAGCCCAGTGCATTAGTTTTTCCTACCACTCAGGCCTCCCACCCACACATATACACACCCATTAACCAGAAAACCAGACCCATTGCTGTTGAGTCCATTCCTACTTATGGTGACCCCATGTGTGTCAGAGTAGAACTACCCTCCATAGTTTTTAATGGCTGTAATCTTACAGGGAGAGCTCTGGTGGTATAGTGCCTAAGCCATTTGACTGCTAACCAGAAGGCTGGCAGTTCAAACCCACCAGCCACTCCTCAGAAGGAAGGTTAGATAATCTACTTCCATAGTGATACTGCCTCAGAAACCCAAGAAGGGGTCGCTATGAGTCGGATCCAACTCAACAACAGGCCTTTCATTCTAAGCACCTCTGAGTGGATTCAAAGGGCCAACCTTTCAATTAGCAAGCCAGCAAAAACCATTTGTACCACCCTGGGATCTTCTACACCCACTTACTTATTCCACAAGACTTTCAGTCCCATCAGCTGTTGAATGTGATCTATGACACCACCTCTATATCCTTCACAAGTATTCCCAAAATGGAAAGAGAAACTATGTGAAATACATCACTTCACAGATGGCAAATGATGGTGTTTAGTTATAGCACAAGGTTATTTCCAATTTAGGTATTTTTGTTAAGTTATAAAATAAAATTGTCTACCCTCTCCAATAATATATATAGAAAAATATGTACAGCTCTTCAGGTGAGTGAAAGTGAAGCTATACTTTTTAATATACTTATGGTTTGAAATAGTTTTTTTTCTGTGTTAATGGCATAAATATGGCAAGTGTGTTTACAGAGAAATGGCTATTTTCTCATTAGCATAAGGATAATAGCACTTTGTAATCACTTTGTCTTGTAGAATGATTGAAGATAGTGGGAAAAGAGGAAATACCATGGCAGAAAGAAGACAGCTGTTTGCAGAGATGAGTAAGTATGGAACTTTCAAGGAACATCTGATAGTTACCATTGAACACACAAGGAAGGACTGGAAATAGCCACACAGTCCTTATGACATTTGTACTTTTCCTTAAAATCCTAAATTCCTTGAATAAAATATACATTTGGACATTTTGCCTCCTATAGGAGTTAAGTTACCCAGTGACTCAATGGAATTTGTTACTAGACTATACATTTTCTATGAAATAATAATTTTATGGAGATACACACACACACACGAACACTTGATAAACACAATTTAGTTTCCACATTAATACAGGTAGCATAGTGGCTAAGACACTTGCCTGCTAACCAGACGGTTGGCGGTTCAAATCCACCAGCCACTCCTCGGAAGGAAGGTTGGGCAATCCTACTTCCGTAGTGATACTGCCTCGGAAAAGAGGGGTTGCTATGAGTCAGGTTTGACTCGACGGCACATAACAACAACAACAACAAAACTTTAAAGTGTTTGTTCATCCTTGCACTCTGCAATATCCGGCATATAGATAAAACTAGTGAAATGAGTCACTGAATATCTTACATTCAAAATGATATCACATGTTCATAGGGGAGAGAGGAATCTGGCATGATTACTGGGCCAAACTATAAGCTGTTATTTGAAACTCAACAAGAGGGAGAGAAGGATCCCTGGTGGCTCAGTGGTTAAGCACTCAGCTGCTAACCGAAGAGCAGCGATTGGAACCTACTAGCTGCTCCATAGGAAAAAGATGTGACAGTCTGCTTCTGTAAAGATTATAGCCTTGGAAGACTTATGGAGTGGTTCTACTCCATCTTCGTAGGGTTGCTGTGAGTCAAAACTGACTCAAAGGCACCGGGTTTGGTGTTTTTTGTTTAAAAAGGGGAGAATCTGTTCCACAAGCCAGTTTCTAAAAAGCACATAAGAAGAAAAGAGCTTAGAGGTGACTGGCTGTGCAAAAGGAAGCCAAAACAACACTATATTTACTGACTCCAGCAGAAAACTCGTTCTGTAAAGGCCATTGGTTTATATAAGTGCCTGCCTGCTACATATGTAATTGGTACTGCCTCACACATAGGCCATTTTCTTATTCATAAAAAAAGAAGAACTTGACATTGAGGGGAACACAGACATCTCAAATTCAATGTTGTAAAGAAATAGAAAATAAGATTCTCTTATTGTCTTTTTATCTCTCCTTCCGTGTATGAGGAATGTGGATGAGCAGGAGTAAGTCATAAGCCTTTTTCCTGAGAAGGCAATAGACAAAATTAGGTTTCTACTGAAGATTGGAACTGATGGGCAAGAATGAGGGCAGGAGGAGATAAAGAAAAGTCCCAGATAATAACATTCATATTCCCCTTTATCATCTGCCAATAATCTGGCAGCACCAAGACCATGTTAGAACTAACAAAGAGGAAAGAAAATTAAAATTGATGTGGGGAATCTCAATCATTCTCCTTGCTTTTTCTCTAGGAGTTTTACACTCTCACAGACAGGTCTAAGGTGTCTGGGAGAGTTTCAGCCAAGACATTCCATTTTTCTCGGGCATGTTTGTTTCCATATCTCCACTCCTAACATGTCCAGTCACCTAGAATTTTGACCTTTGTTGATACAATCTAACAGAGCAAAGAACCTGTTAATGACTGCCTGGCCATCAGAAGAAAGCCCAGAACCGTACAGATGTCCTCCTAAATCATAGATTCTTAGACTAAGAAAAGCAAGCAGTATAAACATCCACCAACATCTTATCAGATTTAAAAAAAAAAAAAAAACTATTAACATTGAACATAAAATCTTGGGGTCAAAGCTCAGATGGCCAGTCCTGAAGTCCAGCCCAAGAGCCTCTGTTGACTTAGACGGCTTTGTCTTAGATAACAGGATACAGCAGGAACTAACAGCTGTAACTTAGAGAGAGAACAAGTTAATTACAACACAAGGTTGAAGCCAGGTTTTAAAGAAATGGCATCTTAACTAAAAGTAGGAGTTTTATTTTAACAATATGGAGTCAGGCCTAACAAAGCAAAATCTCTGTCCTCACAACTTGATGCAGTGTGTGGCACAGAGGATACTTCTGTCAGAAACTTCCAACTACATTGCAGATTTAAATTGCCCAACTAAAAGTAGGATGATTTTTATAATCGTAGAAACAGAGCATCTCTAAATCTCTCTTCAAGTGGAAGAGACTTAGGAAAATTGTGCATTGATTTCCCAAATCATAATTTTTATCTTTTTATAGAAACTTCTGAAGGATGTTGTGTAGCTTTATTACACAGTTTTATGGTTTCTCTTGATAAGTGATCAGAATAGTTAAGCAACCTGCAGAAATGGGTGTCTTTCTTCTTTGGGTAGGCTAAATAATAGACCTAGATCTTGACCAAAACAACTGACACATCTGACCTTAACCATTAGTCTGAGCAGCATGCTTAGATCAGCACTAAATAGAACACATTTACATTAAGTGGGGATTCTGCTGCATAAAGCAAAGGACTTGTTTCAAAAGAGGGAACTGATTTTGATAGGTAGACAGTCACACAAAGAGAAGGGTAATCTCATTGAGACTATGTTAAATAGTTGAAAAATATGTTACCCAAGTGTTATCAATGCCCCCAAAAAAGAAAAAGAAACTATTAGGACTGGTACCGAGAGTTGGAAAGTAACTTTTTCCAAGAATCTGTGATGGAGCTGGAAAAGAATGATCCATTTATAAATCTGGTCAGGTTAGATTATCTAGAAACAACTGAGCAAACAGAAGCAGATAAGAAAGTGCTTTGGAAATGACGAGAACAGAGAAGAACAATTGATAAGAAAGTCTGGTAAATTTAATTGATTGCAGCATGTATGTATGTATTCCACATCTACTCTCAGCTCATTACCACCAGGAGCAAAAGCATAAAAGAAGGCCTGAGGAAGAAATGAAAGGCAATGCAATGACTCATAACTAAGCAAAGAAAAACTAACCTTATATTAAAAAGTAGGTGGCCATCTACTTTAATTTGAGAACTTCTGGGTAGGCCACTCTTAAACAAATATTCTCTTCAACATAATGCCCAAATTATCCATTTATTTAATATCTTGCATTAAGACAGAAAAGACTCCAGTTAAATGGGAATGTCGTGCCCCACTTTGGCTTTTCCAGTCATCATATAAGTTTATCAGTTCAAATAAGTTTCTCAGACTGGCTATTAGCAGAATAAAGTGCTTGTTTCTGGAACTAAACTCTCCTCTATTTTTCTGCTCTCAGGCACATGTACTCTGCCTTGAGTGATAGTTACTTGTAAAAATGTTTGTATCTTTCACCTTTGAAAACTCTTTTGGGACAGACCCTCAGCATTTACCTTTGAGTCATACTGTTCACCTTATATGCTGAGTGGATGCTTACCTAAACTCCTATGGGATACCAGATGGGTAGGTTTCAATGAGATGGAAGTGACTGGAAACTGTCTTTAAGAATGCGAAGGGTTATCTAACACGATAAGGAAGGACCTGAGGGGAGTGATAGCACTGCCCTGCATGAGGAGGAAGGGCTAGAAAGGGAAGCTCATGAAGGCACTTAGCAAAAACTGTGGAATTGTTTGAAGGCAGACAGTCCTACTTCAGAACACTATAGTCAGCATGTGTACAGTTGGAATAGAGCTTAATTATCTTGCAGCGTATGCTATGAGTTTTGGGAAGAATGTTATAAAAAAAATCAGAAAAAATGGCATGCACGATCCTGCTGCCACCGACCATGGTTGGTATGAGACTGTTTGGTGACTGTTTCCACTTGCTTCTTCATTTCTCATGCTCCTGAGCCTCTTTCACATGTTAACACTGAGAATCACCATCCCGGACATACTCTTCCCTTTCTGACGTTACCACACTACCTGGTCTCCTGCTTTTTCTGATCACTCTAATTCTCTTTTGCTGGTTTTTAGTACCCTCCAGACCCTGCCATCAGACTTTACTAAAGTTTTATTTTTGACTTATTCTTTCCATATGCAATTTTATTTCCTCCCAGGGATTTACCTCAATTGCTATTTGCTGTGGCTCCCAGGTGTTCAAAGAGTTTCCACAAAACACCTCTCATTCTCACAAGTCAACCTATAAGGGAGTAACCAGTCATCTTTGAGTCAGTTCTGACATATGACAACTCCATGTGTGTCAGAGTAGAACTGTGCTCCATTGGAGAGTTTACCACAATCTCAGTCACTGCATACCCCTTGAATCCTTCTTTGTGGCAGATGTTTTCAATGGGTGGTTTTTCAGAAGTAGATCACAAGGTCTTCCTTCCAAGATACCTCTGAATAGATTCAAACTTCCAAACCTTCGATTAGCAGCCAAGCACATTAATCATTTACACTACTCCTTATCAGGAATAACACCAAAAAAAAAAAAAAAAACTAAACTCACTGATGTTGAGTCGATCCCGACTCATAGTGACCCCTCCTTGGGTTTCCGAGGTGGTATCTCTATGGAAATAGACTGCCCACTCTTCCTTCTGAGGAGTGGTTGGTGGGTTTGAACCATGAGCCTTCTGGTTAGCAGTCAAATGCCTTAGGCACTATGCCACCAGAGTTCCTTTATCAGGCAGGAATAGTCATCATATAAACTTGACCCCCCTTTCAGCAATGCCTCCTCCTTGTCAAGGCTTCTCCTGCTGAAGCGGCTTGTGGTGGATTTAAGCCTGCACTAATGGTGACCATGAAAAAGCAAACATCCGTGCTAAGGCTGCAGTCCCCAGTGTTTCAAAAGCCACTTAGTCTCTGAGGAAATACCACAGGTGCTCTGGGCACTATTTAGAAGTGAAAGAGTATTCCCCTTCTCCATTTTATGCTTCATTTTGCCACCTAGAATCTGAAATAACTGCTCATAGTCTCTACTTAGAAAAATAATCCCAGTCTTGGGCCTGGCCCAGTCAAGTCACATTGCTGCATGGCTATATGTTTGCTAATAATTCCTAAAATATATTATAAGTCTAGTCATGGGCTCTGTATGTACATATCTAACTGCCCACTGAATATCTCCACTTGGATGT